GAAAACTTTTGTAACGTAATAGAACTTGAAGGATTTCTGTGTTATTCTAAACAATGATAAAAGGCAACAGAGGAGACCAGTTATTTAAAAAAAAACAATTTTTCAACAGGTAGTGAAACATACTAGCCCTTTTATAGTATTGTGCACTACAAGTGAAGTAGCCCAATAACTCCCTTGCCTTGTAGAATAAGAAGCATTGTTCTTAACTCTGAATCCTCTCCATGTGTTTTCAGCAGAGTGAAGATGAGTGGTGAAGAGATTCTTGTGTGTGCAGTACAACTTGGAGAAAATTTCTCTCTCTATTTTGCAGGTAATTACTACCTGCTGCTGAAAGAGTCATACTGTGTCTTCTTTCTGCATAGAAGATCAAAAGCTCATATACAATTCAATCCTTTTCCTTGGGCTAGCATCCGTGGTCTTGTGGAATCCTGTCATGTCATGTGTCCTGTCCCGTCCTGTGTTCATCCCATCCCTGCCCCCCCCCCCCGAGTTACCTGAGCAATTCTCAAAGCAGTTACATTCCCCACACACTTATAAGAATGATAGTTCTTACATTATGGAGCCAGGCTGTTCACTGCAAAAAATTTGAGTTTGAGACAGCTGTCCCAGTATGGTAACAGGTCAGTACCATATTACTGCTGAACACCTTAAGCATTTAATAACTTTCTCTGTTTGCATACCGATTAAGAACAATTCCTTTATCAGTCTGATTTTGCCTAATTTTCCCATAAGCTTCAATTTGAAGTATTGTTAGCCAAGTATCCGAGTCAGTGGAATATTTCTTGCTTCATTCAATACATTCCTGTAAAGGACACTCAGACAGGTTGGAATACTGTGGGGTGGACTTGGAACAAGTGGGTAACTTCCGGTCTTACAGGATGAAGTTAGCTAGAAAACAGTCTCTTCTTTAGAAGCAATTTCTAACAACTGTTTCTTGTCATTTTGCTCACTTAGAATAAAGATGCTGATGAGAACAAAAATTTGCATGCCGTTTATTCCTTGGTTATAGGCTTAAAGCGATCCGAGCTGCTCACCCTTAAGTAACTGTGAAACACTTTGCATGCCCCTTGATTTGGTGGTAGCTCCAGTTCTTAAATGACTGGTGGTTTCATCATTCTGTTAAATTTTTTATGCTCACAAATAAAACACACTCTGTAGTTAGAACAGCTCAGCTTGGTGAGCTAGTGACACTGGGGAGTACAACTGGAAATACGTAGGTGGCTAGCTGGCTGGCTTCCAATCTTGCAGAACAAAACTGGGTAGAAAGTGGTTTCTTTCGTGGAGGCAAAGCTTAATGTTGTTTTTTCTTTCTTTTTTCTTCATTGCTTGCTTGGAACCAAGATGATGATGGTAAGCTGAAAGCTCATCACTTATTAACTTCATTATCAATTTTACTGAAACTAACCTGCTCATGCTTACTAACCCATAAATGCTTTGTGTGCCTTGGAGAACAAGTTTTCAAACTGATAATGACTCCTGTAGAAAAAGAGAGCTATAGCTCACCTTCTCTTTCCAAAGTTGATGTTGCTTTATTTCCTCCTAAGGTACAGGGTAGCGGCTTCCCTAACAGGACTTTTAAAGGCAATTCTAATTGTTGGGCAAAAGAGGGAACTGTTGCTTCTGAATTCTCATTAATAGATACAGTAGCTTCTCTTGCTTATATATACAGACTGCCATGTTCTGGGAAATCCTTCTGTCATGCCTGGGTTGCTACAAGCCAGAGGTGGAAGGAATGACATGGCCTCCATTTTCATTGAGATTGCCATGCTAAGAACTTATTTCACCTTATTTAACATGATTAAGCCTGTAGCGATCTGTTAAGATCTGAGGAGGTTACAGATAAAATATTTGACCCTCTTTGCTTAACGTTTCTACAGGGCTGGAATGCGATGCCTTTTGTAAAGAAAAAACTCTCCATCGCGTCCTTCGAAATGTGAATAGCCAGTTGCTTGTGGTTCGACCAGATTTAAACTTGGCAGCTTTTGAAGATGTGACAGATCAGGAGATGAAATCTGGTACACCATTTTTCAAATATATACTATAACCATTGCACTATTTCTTTATTCTAGATGTGCTTCTGTTCTTTGTAATTACTGACTCTAACTGATGAGACAGAGTAAACACTTGAACTTTTTTTGTATGTGTGAGATTACAAAAAATAATTTTTAGGTTTAAACAGACTAAAAAGCACTAAAAGCTCTTTCTTCTATCAGTACTAGTTAACACTGTACTTATGGTTTTGGCTTTGATTTTTTTGAGGGCCTCAGCAATTAATTCAGAACTATATTTGTTGAACACATTTATTCACAGATCACATATACAGAGATATAATCTGATTTACAGATGACTACTTACAAATCAAATTTTCACTTTATGCATGCATGTAGAAAGATTTGAACATCCTACCCGTACTAACCAGTAACTTCACATGCTTTCTTGCAAATTCAAAAATCTTGGTTATTGAATGATTGTAGAAAGTCAAGTATGTGCTACCAGCAGTCATAAAAATTCAAGTCCTGGCTCTCCTTCAGCAAAGGTATCCTGGGAAGAGAGCAGTTGCCAGTGGAATGGTAAGACATAATATGGTTAAGTTGCTGCAGCTCTCTCCTGAGCACACTATTAATAATAAACAATTTATATTTAGGCAATGGAATGCACTTCAACATTCACTGTTACAAAACTACCACACCTTCAGCAGGGATGCCTGTTGCATTCAGTGTCCAGGTAAAAGATAAAAGTTACTACATGTGCTGTGAGAAAGAATGTGGAAAAACGATAGTTCGATTTAGGGTAAGTAGCTACATTCCATACCTTATGTATATATAAGTAGTAGACAAAATGACGAATTCAAACGTGTGAGCTGAAACAAAACTGCTCAGGTCTTGTGCTGGGACTAACCCATTCCCTTTTTCTTCCTCAGGAAGGAGAAGTTCCCAAAGAAATTCCTGGTGAAAGTAATGTAATCTTTTTCAAAAAGACATTTACGTCCTGTAGCTCCAGAGCATTTAAGTTTGAATACTCACTAGAACAAGGAATGTTCTTGGCTTTTGAGGAAGAAGGCTGCTTAAGAAAATTGATTCTAAAGAAATTGTCAAGAGAAGATGAAGTGGATGAAACTACGAAGATTAGTTTCTAACTTCAGTCAGAATGAAAGTCACAGCCTGTGACAAGCAAAAATATATTTTGGCTTTTTATAAACGAAATCTTTTTCTTTCTTCACCGAGACAAGCCAGTTTTATGTTTTTTAGCTACCATAAGTCAGAACAAAAATCAGCATCTTAAAGGAAAATAAATTCAAATTCTCTGGGGAAAAAAGCCAGAAGAATGCTTTCCAGTCAGATAGAAGGAAAGAGAATTATACAATTAAGAAACAAGAATGTGCATGCCTATGTAGTCCTGTCTAGTTTGATCCTTAAAATCTTCACACACAATCACAGAAGATATCTTAAATAACGCATACAAGTGCATCTTGTGTTTGGTCTCAAAAGAGGAAATGTCAAACACTTGATATGATACAAGCTCAGATTGTACAGAGGTACTTACCAATGACTTGTCATATGCATCTTCCTCACTATAGCAAAATAACAAATGTTATATTGGTATGTAAATTAGACCACAGCAGAGAGATGCAACCATCTCAGTTCTGACCACAAGATTAACAAAACAAAAATGGCCACCTACAGGGTATTTCCCACGGTTACATGAATAAGTAAGTAAATAAATAGAAATTCCAATCTAGATGAAAAAAAAACCAAACAGAAAGTCTTGTGGAATTCAAACAGCAACTTATTCATTCTGTTTACTGCATAATCAGACTGATGGTAACACACAATTCTCTTCCTCTTCCTATTAATAGTACCACAGAAGTACCATTAGAATGTGGAAACAAGTTAACCACTCTTTACTACTATGAAAGTCGGAAAAGATAAAGCAGAGAAGAATGTTAAACAACACAATCTAATTTCCCTGATCTAAAATGCTCTAAATGGTAAAGACATAGAAAAGAACGCTGCCTCAGTGTTCTGTCAGGCTATGACAGAAAGGGTATGTTTATCTTCTCAGTCACACAGGAAAACATGTACCAATGCTAATTTAGAAAATAAACCCCCAAAAAGTTGTAGATGAACATAACAGGTTCTAGGGAAACTATGAAAGCCATGTGCTATTTATGGCTCTTAAAATTCATCTGCAAAAGTCTTTTTCTTGTAAGTCAATTATTGCTGTATTTTCTAATGGACATTACTCTTAAGTCAAATCTATGTGACCTATTTAAGTATTAAGGACAATACATATTCATAAGAATATTTTTTGTTTTGTAACATCTAAATAAAGTAATGCAGAGGAACAGTATGAACAGTAACATAACAGTATGAAATAGTATTTGAAGTTGATTTTAGGGGAAAAAAAAAAACTATCTGCAGAGAAAACATTTTAAGTAGCCCAAAAGAAGTAAAAATCATTCAGAAGCACACACAATTTCTGTAAATTCTTTATTGTATGGATTAAGAAAAAAGTACTCCCTTTTCTACATCAGCTCTCAGGGTCCAAAGAGTTACGGGGTGTGCCTTACATACAGTTCAGTTGTGATGTCATTAGAAATAACAATTCACTTTTCTACAAGTCAAGTTTGTTTTACAAAATAGGAAACCAAACAACAGTTACTTTAGAAAAACATTCATTAAAGCTTGCCATTACAAGAAAAGTTACCTTCAGCTAAGTAAGTCTGTCATTGATGTAATTAATTCCTCCCAATTTACAGTGCAGCTTAAATCAACTCACTCTCACCTGGACATTATCCACTTTAAATCTACAGGTTTTTTTCTAACATTTTTACTGCTGTTGGATATTTATTTCTAAAAGACTAGTTCTGAACTCGTTGCAGTATGTACATACTACGGACCCTTGGTTATTTATATGTTTCGTATTAAACATGTTGCTAAAAATATGATGAAGCAGAGGCAGCAGTGAACAATCGTGTTTGTCAGGGACTCGGTTGCATCTTAGAGGCTCCACAGCATGGCAACGGCCTTGCAGATACCAACATCATAATAGTTAAAGTAGCAGAGGCCAGCAAAGGTAACAGCCGACAGTACATACAGACCTGTATTGGCCAGTTTAATGGGTGTATCTCCATGGACGTAGTCAGTTATAACCTGTCCAAGACCCCTACAGAGTAAGAGGGAGAAAAAAGCTGAAATCAGGAAAGAGCATTCGTCACTGAAATCCACCCAGCTTATGTGAGCATTCTACTAAGATGGTTAACCCTAACCCATTTTTTTTACCCACTACTATCAACCTTTCCTAAGAAATGCTCACTTCCCACTCAAAAAGAAAATGCATCTATATCAAAAAAACCAACACAACATTCCCCATATTCTATTTTAAAAAATATACATATTGGCTCAAGAGTTTTCTTAATGGTACTGAGGAAACAAGGTGTTGAGCACAGCTCTTTCAGACAATCAAATCTGTAGAATGTGCCTCCAAGAAACAATGGACAGCTTATCTGACTTCCAAGGACTGCAGAAAAGAAACCAAAGGAAATACCCTTCTTGCTTGAACAGCAAGGTGTGGCTCTGGGATCAGCCATTGTCACAAATTGCACAGAAGACTCCACGATGTGTATTTAGATTAGAAAATAGTGGCAACCAAAAAATGAGCATACATTGATTTTTTTTTTCTACATCTGTCAGACTGGAAGTGAACTCTTGCCCAGATTTAAACTATCCAGCAACAGGAAGACACAGGATGCTATTGAACTCATGTGGTAGTTCTCTTCCTGGAATTATATTTGCTTTCTGCAATGACAGATGTCCACTTGGTAAAAAAGAGAAACATATTTAATGCAACAGTTTTCTTCCTAGGATTTTGCCTTGGTCTAGCCTGAAGCTGAAGGACCTGCGTCCCACAAATTCAGACATACTGGTCACCTAGGAAGGTTCAAAGTCCTGCAGCAGATGCCACTGCAAGTGAACACTGAACTCAGTTTCACTTAGATGGGGTTCTGATACCATAGAGGTGTCAAAAGTGAGAAAAGGGGTGCAAGGAACCTCTGGATACACAGAAAAGAAGGAGAAAGTGGAAGCAGTCTGAAAGACACCTACTCTCACACTTTTACAGCTATTTCTTTACAACTGGACAGTGGAATAAGGTCAGGAGTGCAAGCCTTCCAAAGTGCAGATAAGTCAGGCATACTCGGACATTTACAAGCTGCCCTTCAACTGTAGTGCTGATAAGGGATTTTCATAAGATCTTTTCTTTGCATGGCACAGTAAGACTGAGCCATTCTAAGACTTCTCAGAAAAACTGGTGTGTGACTTCACAGTACACTAATTAATTCATACAAAGCCCTCACGGGAAAAGATCAGTGGTCCTGAAAACAAGGAAGGGAATTAGTGAGAAATAGCTGATGTGTGGTAGACACGCAATCTAGCTCACAACACAGCAGCCTCACTGGACAGAGAAATCTTTATTACATGCCAGCAAAAACAGTACAAGATAAACATGGCTTCGGGTATCTTGAGTAAGTCTATTGGTAGGTTAGTGTTTGGACTGAAAACCACCTAAATATCTGAAGCACTATTCCCAACATATTTTACGACAAGGTTTCCTAAGGAAAAACATAGCAAAAGGTGAAAGAAAACCCCTCAAAATACAGGCAATACTCCTCTGCAGTTTCTGATCAACTACTAGCGGGATTATCTGTTATGGCAATCAACGTTTATGGCAAGCAAATGATCTATTTTCTTTTAAAGATATTTTAGCACCAATACCTATGAAAGTACAAGAGGAGAATTTTCCTACTTAGAAACAGTTTTAGGTTTTTAACACAATGTTTTGCAAGATAAGAGTACAATACTGGAGAAACTTTCCAGCTTAATAAGAGAACAAAAACCCCACACAAGTGCGTGTGTGGGGAATTCACTCTGATGAAAGATACCAGCAGAGCTGCACACAAGCAGCAAGACATTTTTCTCATAGGGGAAGTCCCCACAATGTTTATGGAAAAGGGATTTCTAGTACGAACAATCCTGACACTTTGTGTCAACAAGAGACATTCACTAAAGAATCCAACATGCGTGCACTGACACAAAACATCATCCAGAGAACCCGTTTGAACACATCAACCTGCAACAACCTGTTCCATTGCCTGGAATTTCCCCGCATGGTCTCATCCAGTATGGCACCAACACGCATGTACCAAACAAGTGAAGAAATACTCCAAAGGCAGGCAAGCTTAGCTTTACGTATTTTATATTTGAAAGAGCTCTGCCAAATATGTTTGAGGATAGCCACATTTCAGATTAATTCTCTACTAGATTTGAGGGCTTCAGGAAGAAGCTCCCAGTCACAGGGAGGAAACTGCAAGAATCCCTGGTACGACTTAGTAAGGGAAAAACTGACATTTAAGAAAACCTGGCATCCCAAAGTACCATGAAGTTGCTTATCTGCTTTACCCCTGTGACAAGGAACTACAGACCAGTATCACCTCAGGAATGTAAACACTGCCAGTTAGGCCAGCCACGCGGCTGGATCCACTCCTAGACTCGTCCAGCCTATTCACATTAAAGATCACAGCAGAACTACACTTAGGAAGAACACGAGCAAGCATCCATTTCACAGGAATCAAGAAAATAATGATCAAGGTCTCAGCTTCTTTAGTGGAATATTTGCTTTATTATGCAGAATCGCATTACCATTGTGATGTACAAAGCCAGCCCACAGCACAGGCCCTTAGAAGAACAACTTTTTTTATATAGATCTGTCTGTCCTGTTTCTGTTCCCTCTGTTCATACAACATTGATTCTTAAGATAAAAACGTCCAGGATTCTACACAGCCACTGGCAAGGAAGTCCTCCTAAGGTAAGACACTGTCTAGAAGAACACTAGAGAATGTTTATGGATACCTTAATAGCCAGATGTATCCTGCCTTCGGACTGAGAGAACAGTGTGACAAAGGAAGACCAAGGTACAACTAGTCTTGACAAAGATCACGACTGTCACAGAACTTGGAGATTAAGGACTTTGTTTACATCTCTTTCCAGGTGTTTTACACTAGATCAGGAAATAAGTCAGTAGACTTACCACCATATACAGATTTAAGACCTCAGGTTTGAAGCCATCCTGACTATCAGACTTTACTCTTAATTCTGAGGGACCTATTGTGCTTACCAGTGGCCATGGAGAGTGAGGGCTGCTGCCAGCGAATAGTCCATGGCTGGTCCAGGATACAGGTAGGCTGCAGGAAGGAGACCTAGCAAGAGGACACTGACAGCTCGCTCACTTGTCCAGTGCAAAGACGCAGACTTGGAACTGCCTGTAAGGAGAAGTACTTTTCAGTGCAAATTTCCTGTTCGAAGTGCTGTAACATTAAAAACAGATACCTCACTCTGATCAGCACCACAATTACGCGTTTTCACCAATCTCATTACTAAACTTTCATCCAAGCAAAACCTAACTGTATCTGAATTACTGCTGTAGAATATGTATCTATGTTACAGTGTCTAAAAGGTTAATTTTAAATACTCCTCTCTTTGCTGCTGCTGAGAAAGAGAAGCTTCTTCTATTATAAAAGAACAGAAGATCAACAGTTAAGGTCAAAACAAACACCAATCCTACTTTCACAACTTGCAGTTCAGGACTAAGGTCCAAGTCAACCATCACAGCAAAGAAGTGTCTCCAAAGGCAAAGCCTTTTTGTCTAGTGAATTTATTGACTGTTACGTACTATGTACTCCCCCCACCTTTTGAGAAATGTTTTTGAGATCCAGATGGACACAACTACAAGTTCCAGTGAACCGCACATCATGACAACTCTGTGCACTGTTCTGCCCAGGAACCAATATTGCTATAACAGTAGATTAAACTTCTGGGACCATCACAGTCATATATGGCCTAAAAGTAACCTGGAGGCCACAGGATTTCAGTCCATTGACACTCAACTGGGTACAACCTGAACCACGTAACAGGTGGCTATAGAAATAGAAACACCAGTTAGGGAGCTCTCTAATCAACTCTTGCTTTTCAGAAGCATGCAAATACTATTAGGGAGGGGAAAAAAAAACCTGAAACACCTAGAAGGTTCTGGAGCAAACCAAAACCCTAACACCACAAGCAATATTTGAACCAGAATGTCAGCATCAGCCCAGACTCAAATCATCAAGAACTGACTCTGTGAAATTGCCTTTATAACACAATACCCTCAAAGCACTTACCTAACACATAGATATTATCCATCCATCTAAACCAAAATACAAATGGTTTTCTTTGTTTTTGCAAGGAAGAAGAAATTTATAAAAATTACAAGATAAGGAAAACAAAGGACCTGAAGTAAAACATGAAAGGGACCTAGTCTGTGGACTAATAAGCTGTCCTGGTAGAACTCCATGGCTGTGAACGCTTCACAGCACATGCACAAAGTCTGTTGTTAACATGAATTCCAGAACAGAAAGGAAGGGAATGGCTTAGCTGTGTTTAAACCAATTTCTTTTACAAGCGTTTCTTCATCTTTCCCACTTCTAAGCTGCACTGTAATGGCTACAAAACATCCTTCACCTCCAGTCACAACATTTCTCTCATTTAATTGTGCAACTGACAGACTAGAACTTGGTCTTGGCATGGTTATCTTTCATCACCTCTGTTTAATCTTACCACATGGAGAGAGGAAAATCAATCTAAGAAATACTCTCTGCCTGCAGATCAGACTTCTCAGATTAACCTCAGTGAATCAGAAGCTCTAATGTTCAAGAAAGAAGTCAGAATTGCAGTGTTTTCATATTATTACTGCTGCTGATCCATAAGAAATGTTAAACCTCCCTGGCTTCTTTCAAAATCTTTCAACCTTTTCTCCACAGTTGAAAAAACGAGCACCTTTGTCAATAAGCAGAGATTTACTTTTTTGGCATTCAGTTAATATCTCCTGTTTAAAGAGTCACAGCATTCACGAGCTTGATACTGACATCGCAGACGTCAGTTTCAAATTCAGGCGGCGCAGAGTCACATACAGCTTGATTTCAATCAGATCCGGGCAGGCTGCAAACCAACAGCCGTGCTAGCAACTGGAAATAGTACTGCCGAAGGGGATGCTAACACATTCCGGTAATACCAGTAGCCCTACCTCAGGCAGCAAGAGCCCAGGAAAAACCACCGCGCCATGCGTCGATTTTCTCTGCCGCACCCCTGCTACTTAAAGTCTCCTACCTGGCTCCAAAAATCGGCGACCCAGACCAGCCGCGGATGTAAGGGGCACACGAAGAACCCGCTGTTGTCGGGACCGCAGAAATCGCGTCGAGGACGCGGCAATGACGACTCGGCAAGCCCGCTCCCTGGGGCCGGCCGCGGCGCAGGCGAGACCTGCCGCGC